GATTTCTTCCAGTATCTTCTTGGTTACCATTTGAGCAGTTTCAGACTTGGTGGGAAAGGCTTCCACCCATCATGAAAAAGTGTCTATAAAAACTAGAAGGTACTTATTACCATATTTTCCTGGCTTAATTTCAGTGAAGTCTACCTCCCAATAAATTCCCGGCCGATCTCCCCTCATTCTTTTTCCGGGTTCTTTGAACAGTTGGGCAGCATTGGTCAAAGTGCAGGCTTGACATGACTCTATTACCTCCTTTATTATTGTATTTAATCTTAGAACATAATATTTAGAACCTTTGATTAATTGCTTAAGTTTTTCATTTCCAAGATGAGTCAGCTGGTGTATTTGTCTCACATAGTCTTGTCCTTCTTTAGAGGGCAGAATGATTCGTCCATCTTTGGTTTTTGCCAATCCACCAAAACTGAACATCCGAGCTTTTCCTGCACCGGTCATATCTTCGATTAAATCATAATCTTTATAGGGATAGATGAAGCTGGGATCCATGACTTGTGGGGGTTCTTCGGGGATTCTGGCGGGGTTCCAGTTTCCTCCGCCAGCACTACCGCTCCCTGGGCAGCTTGCTTTGCTGTTAGATCGGCCATCTCGTTCCCCTTTGTGACTGGGTCAACCCCCTTCTGGTGTCCCAGGCAGTGGACAATGGCTAATTTTTGTGGAAGATGTATGGCTTCTAGGAGGGCCCGGATTTCTTCTTTGTTTTTAACGTCTCTTCCTGCTGAGGTGAGCAGGCCCCTCTGTCTGTAGATGGCCCCATGAATGTGGGCCGTGGCGAAAGCATAACGGCTGTCGGTATAAATGTTGATAGCCTTACCTTCTGCCAGACGCAGAGCTTGAGTCAATGCCAGGAGCTCAGCTGTTTGAGTGGAGGTTCCTTCTGGGAGACTGCTGGCCCAAATTTCCTGCTTTCCATCCACCACCGCTGCTCCCGCCCTTCTTTTACCTTCTACCACAAAACTGCTGCCATCCGTATACCAGTTAGGCACCCCCGGCCAAGGTTGGTCGGTGAGGTCTTTCCTGGTCCCGGTTTCTTCAGCCAGGACGTCAGTGCATTGGTGCACCGGGGTAGAGTCATCTGCTTCCGGGAGCAGGGTGGCCGGATTGAGAATAGCAGGAGGAGCAAAGGTTATCCGATCATTTAACAACAAGCTCTGGTAATGTGTCATCCGGGCGTTTGTCATCCAGCGGTTGGGGGGCTGCCGCACAATACTTTCTAAAGCATGGGGAGCAATTATAGTCACATGCTGACCCAGAGTAAGCTTATCAGCGTCTTTGACAAGTAGGGCTACTGTAGCAATGGCTTTCAAGCAAGAGGGCCACCCGCTGGCGACAGGGTCTAGCTTTTTAGATAGGTAGGCCACCGGCCGCTTCCAAGGCCCCAGGGTCTGAGTCAGAACTCCAAGGGCCACTCCAGCCCGCTCATCAACATATAGAGTGAAAGGCTTAGTCAGATCTGGCAGAGCCAAAGCAGGAGCTGTGAGCAGGGCAGTCTTTATATTATCAAAGGCTCTTTGGTGCTCCTCCGTCCAGGTGAATGGGACTTTTTCTTTAGTGAGTGGGTACAGAGGGGCCGCCAGCATGGCAAACCCTGGTATCCAGAGTCTACAAAAACCCGCAGTTCCCAAAAACTCACACACTTGTCTCGGAGTGGTGGGGGTCGGGATCTGCATCACAGTCTTTTTCCGTGCTTCAGTGAGCCGTCGCTTCCCTTCTCGGAGAGTGTATCCTAGGTAGGTCACCTCCGAGCGGCATAACTGGGCTTTCTTGGCGGACACCCGGTACCCCAACTCACCCAATTCCTTTTGGAGCTTTCTGGTCCCGTCGAGGCACAGTTCCTGGGTTGAGGCTGCGAGGACCTGCTACTAGAGCCTGGCGGTAGACCGTGAGATGCCCCCTACCTTCCGCAGAGTTGTAATCCCAGCGTGCAGTAAATCATCTACGTACTGCAGGAGAGAAATCTGGGGGTTCCGTGCCCTGAAGGGCGCAAGGTCACAGTGGAGCCCTTCATCGAAAAGAGTCGGTGAATTTTTGAACCCCTGTGGCAACCTAGTCCAGGTCAGTTGACCCGTATGTCCTCCTTCGGGATCTCGCCACTCAAAAGCGAACAGGGGTTGGTGTGGCAGCCGCTTTTAGCTCAACTACGACGGGTGGCTCTTGTTTAGCCAGTCCCATTCCAGTCTGCTCTGCCCAAACCTCTGGAAAAGCTGTGAGGATCCTCTCTCTTTCTTCAGTCTTAAAGAGGACCTGCAAGAGTTGTTGACAGTCGTCCCAAGTGGGCTGATGCTACCTTTCGCAGAGTTGTAATCCCAGTCAGGGCGGACCAAGGGGAAAGCAGCATCTATAAGATTAGGGAGATTGGTGGGGGTCCCATCTGGTCCTGGAACATTCTTTCTGGCCTCTAGGAGGATCCTCTCTCTTTCTTCAGTCGTAAAGACGACCTGCAAGAGTTGTTGACAGTCGTCCCAAGTGGGCTGATGAGAATACATCAGGGACTCGAGCAGTCCCATCAAGCCTGAGGAGTTCTCTGAAAAAGAGGGGTAGTTAGTTTTCCAGTTGTACATATCGGCTGACTAAAACGGCCAATACTGCAGTGGGACTAATTCCCCTGGAGCTGGGGCGGGTCCATAAGCCAGTAATGGTAAGGCAACTGTGGAGTCAGCTGCGCCAGATCCCTCTGGGCTGCAGCTCCGGCGGCTTCGAGTCCCGGCCACTGGCCCTATTTCGAGGCTGTCCGGGGGTCCATTGGGGCCGGCACCTGTGGGGGGGCTGCATGAGGAACGGGTTGAGGATATGGGGGAGGAGGGTGGTCAAGGAGGGAGACATCATCAATTTCAGGATAGATCCGCGGTTCTCCAGCTACTACTGGGGCCAAAATCTTAGTCAAATTTCTCTCTTGGCGGTGATCCCGCCGATTTTCCCTCTCTTCTGCCTCCTTTTTTTTCTTTCTTGTTTTTCTTCCTCGGTCATGGAGTGGGCGCCGGCGGATCTGAAGGAGGCACTTTCGGTTTCGCGGCCACAGCCACCGTCGCCGTCCCTATTCCCGATGTCCAAGGTTTCATCCAGGGTGGCGGGTTTTGGACTAGGTCCTGCCACATGATAATGTATGGAACCTGATCAGGGTGTCCCCCTGTGGCCTGAAAAATAATTCGCTTGACAGCTAGATTAAAAGTTCCCCCGAAGGCCATCTCACACTGAAACTTGGCCATTTGGAGGAACAAAAAGTCCGCCAAGGTCCTTTTCTGACCTCGACAGAAAGATTATAAGCCCGAGTCTTAACGTCTGTCCAATGGTCCAGAGTCAGTGTTAGTGGGGTCATCACGGTCTGTACCATGTCTACCTCTATTACACACACAATAAAAACAATCACAAAGACAGAAAGACAAGAAAACAAAGCCAGCTGTCGACCTCGAGTCGACCAGTAATTCTGAAAGGAATCAGATGGCCGGGAAATGGCCCTTTGACACAGATCGTCAAGGAGAAAACTTATCTCCCGACCTTTTCCGTGGAGGTCCACCAGGCTTCCCTGGTCCTCCTCCTGTCCTCCCTGAACGTCTCCCAGAGGGTCTAGGACCCCCTGGGTGGTCGCGCAAATCCCAGACGAGCCCCCAAATGAAAGACCCCCGAAGGGAGACCCTCACTCAAATCTCGAGAATAGCTTGCACCCAGTGAGGCACCGAGACCAGACTTGCTGCAATCACACGAGGAAGTTTATTGAAAATGGAATTGAATGAGATCTCAGGCCAGCATGCTGGGGTCCAGACTCATA